ACACAAAGTGGCACATAATTGTGAAGTGGAAAGAAAATAATTGGTTTTCAAAATTTTTGCAGTTTGGAAAAATGCATGTGGGGGGGGGGGGCAGCAATCATGTGGAAGAAGGTGCCCTGGTCAGATGAGACCTAAATTTTACTTTTTGGCCTAAAAGCAAAACGCTATGTGTGGCAGAAAACTAACACATCATGTCACCCTGAACACACCATCCTCACCAAGAAACATGGTGGTGGCAGCAACGTGCTATGGGGATGCTTTTCTTCAGCAGGGACAGGGAAGCTGGTCAGGGTTGATGGGAAGATGGATGGAGCCAAATACAGGGCAATCTTAGAAGAAAACCTGTTATGAGTCAGCAAAAGACTTGAGACTGGGGCAGAGGTTCACCTTCCAGCAGGACAACAACCCTAAACATACAGCCAGAGCTACAATGGAATAGTTTAGATCAAAGCATATTCATGTGTTAGAATGGCCCAGTCAAAGTCCAGACCTAAATCCAATTGAGAATCTGTGGTAAGACTTGAAAATTGCAGTTAACAGACGCTCTCTATCCAATCTGACAGAGCTTGAGCTGATTTGCAAAGAAGAATGGGCAAAAATTTCACTGTCTAGATGTGCAAAGCTGGTAGAGACATCCCCAAAAAAACTTGCAGATGTAATTGCAGCGAAAGGTGGTTCTACAAAGTATTAACTAAGGGGGGCAGAATACAAATGCATGCCACACTTTTCAGATATTTGTTAAAAAATTTGAAAACCATTTATCACTTTCCTTCCACTTCACAATTATGTGCCACTTTGTGTTGTCTATCACATAAAATTCAAATAAAATACATTCACTTTTTTGGTTGTAACATGACAAAATGTGGAAATTTTCAAGGAGTATGAAAACTTTTTCAAAAGGCACTGTATAGGTAAAGTTGATCCAGGAAATATCCAATTGCCTCTCAGAGGATCAGGAAGGATTTTTTTCCCTGCAGAAGGCGATTTGATCATGCTTCGCTGTTTTTTTTTTTTTTTGCCTTCCTCAGGATGAACTGTGGGTGTAGGAGTATTACTTTTTTTTTTTGGTTGAACTGGATGGACTTTTGTCTTTTTTCAGCCAGAATATGTAACTATGAATATTTTGCTAAATGAGGCGGCCGGTATTCAGTGAAGCTGGAAAAAGAAAAGGTATAAGCAGAATAAAAAGTTTATTAACCAAAAGCAACATTTGCTTTTCCTTGCCTCAGTTGTCAAAATGTGTATTGAGAGTCTATTGCAAGTATCACTAATGTTTGGCAGTGATGCCCCCTGGTGGATAAGCGCTATTAAAAAAATATACCTTTCTAAAACAAATGCAACAAACTTGCAACAGAGATTCATTTTTCTTCATAATGTTGTTTACATTGCTAATAATTTCTAACTATGCTAAAGTTTCACTCAAAGTCTATTAAATTAAAAACAAAATTAAAGTATACGTAAACCCGTACCTTGTAAATAACCCATTCAGTTTAAAACAGAAAAAAAAAACATTTGTGTATAGAAAAAAAATCAAAACAAAACAAACGCTTTTTTTTATATGTGATCACATTCCCTGTCCTCAGCTCCATAAGAGTTAGGGAGGAGAAACAGCAGAACTTCCCAGTGAATGGCTGTGCTGGAGAGAGGATGGGTGGTGTTAGGACAAGTCTGATCATTGGAAGAGAGCACACTGAGTTCCCAGCGGGTTAAAGAACTGACCACAGAGTGTTATCCTGCCTAGTATGGTCAGTTTCCAATAGGAAAGAAGGTTGGCAGGATCACCAGGTATTCCAAGCAAAGGAAGCAATACAAAGAAAACAGGATACTTTGGGTTTACATACTAAAAAAAAAAAAAAAAAAAAAAAAAAAAAAAAAAAAAAAGGTAATAACAAACTAGTCAGTTTTTCCCTTTAAATGTTTTATACAGTTGGGAATGTTTAAAAGGAACCTATTCATTGGTATTTTGTTTCAAGGCAAAGGCTGCATAACAAATACAACTATTCACACTGTTGCCTCTGAAAATGCAGTGTGCAAAGGTCAAAGATCTACACAAAATTGCATTTTTTTTTACTGGCTACGAAAGGAATACTTTCAAAGTCATGATAGTCCTCTTGCAAAAAAAAAAAAAACAAGTACCTATATGCTAGTCACTCCCCACCCTATGCACTAAAATAAATGAAACTCCAGCTTCCAGCCTGTTCCCATAAGCCCCAATGATGTCAGTCTTTCGGAAAGTGGAAGATCCAAAACCACTGGGCAGCAGCCAGATCCTCAGCTTTCCCAGGATACTAAACAACATCACTAGCACCTACAGGAAAGAGCCAAAGCAAGGGTAAAAGGTAAGCAGCCATTACAAATTTTTGGCTAATGGGCTTATTTATTTTTTTATTACATCCTGTGTGGTGGGTTGGCCAGCAGAAGACAGGACAGCAAGGTCCACTTTAAGGTGGAAAAAAAAAACCAGAAGACGCTTGCCTAGAATTCCAAATCTAATCCTTTGCTTAATTTTCATGGAATGTAGCAGATGATACCTTACTGGTTATTATGGGAGCAGTACTTTTAAGAATGCTTTTTTTTCTCCAGTTTTTGTAAATTGGTCCTCTTGCAGCCCACATGTCTTCATGATTAATGCAAATTTAACAAGTAATTTTTCTAAAATGTAGTACAAAAACCCCGTGCTATTAATTATAAAAATACACTACCATAAAAACATGAAAAATAAATAATAAAAACCATGAAAGAGCAGCTATCACTCCACAGTGCAACCACCACACAAATATAAATAAATGTAAACCTACATATAAGGAAGCACTCCTGATTATAAGCGACCAAATATAGAGTCAAATGTGCATATTAACAACAACGCTCATAAATTACACAATTATCATAACTTGTGTGCAGAAAAAAGAAACATGAAAACAATCCCATATAACATCAAATTAGGTTGTAAGTAAAAAAAATGTAAGAACAGTCCCATATGTCATCCAATTAAATTGTAGTTCTCCAGAAAAAAAAAAATTAAAACAATCCTATATATCATCCAATTAGTTTGTAAATAGAAAAAAAAAAAAAAAATCTCCAAAAATAAAAGACCACCACCAAAGTTCATGTGCCACAAAAAAGGTAAATCTTCTGCAGTATCAGAAATCTTCCACCATGGACTACCACTAAAAAGTATTACCAGGGTGCCCAATCAGGTGTCCGTCACCTGATGAGATGGAACCCTTAAAATAATCAATACAATCAGCTGGTCAAAAACGCTTTATTTCAGGTACTTATATAGCGCCATCAATTTACGCAGCGCTTTCCATATATATTGTACATTCACATCAGTCCCTAACCCTCAAGGGGTGTACAATCGAAGGTCCCTAACTCACATTCATACATACACACATACTAGGGCCAATTTAGACAGGAGCCAATTTACCTACCAGCATGTCTTTGGAGTGCGGGAGGAAACTGGAAACCCATGCAGGCACAGGGAGAACATGAAAACTCCAGGCAGGTGGTGCTGTGGTTGAGATTCAAACCAACGACCCTAGTACTGCCAGGCAGAAGTGCTAACCATTTAGCCACTGTGCTGCAAAGAGTTTCAGATCCAGTTTATAGGAAGAATTACAAGGAGATTAAGTAATCGATTTCTTTTCACATAGGCAACAGGTCAGCAGCAACTAGGCCACATCTCCATATTCCGCCGCTCTTGCATCAAAAAGCTCAAAGAGATACATGCAATATATAATACAATACGTGTAGTTTTGCCAGTGGCTTTTTTAATAAAAGAATAAAAAGAAGTAACATTCACAATGCGCACAGACACATACAAGTCTATTCACAGCAAGCAAATACAAAGGGGGTGATTTACTAAAACTGGTGCAGTTGTACATAACAATCCACTTCTAGGTTTTATTGTCAAAGCTTAATTGAACAAGCTGAAGTTAGAAGCTGATTGGTTATTGTGAACAGGTGCATTAGTTTTAGTAAATCACCCCCACAGTGTAGATCACTCAGCTCAGCAAGATGGCACCTGTGTGATGTCGTCACACAAGTCCCACTTGCCTAATGACACTTATAATCTAATTGGATAACATATGGGACTGTTCTAATGTTTATTCTTTTATGCACAACCTAATTGGATGATATATGGGATTGTTTTCACGTTTTTAATGGTTTTCTGCATAAGAGTCATGATGATTGTGTAATTTATGAGTGTTGTTGCTTATATGCACATTTGAGTCTACATCTGGTAATTTATATTAAGGAGCGCTTCACTGTTAGTAGGTTTACATTTTTTCTAAAATACCTGCTAAGTTTCTCAAACTTTGGCACATTGGATAATGTCCCTTACATAGATGCATATTGGAGAATTATGGTGACCTGCCCAGGAGGCATCTTTTCTCTCTCAGACAAATCCTTACTGACAACATTGCCCCTTCATTATTTTTTTTTTATAGCCCTCTTATTAAAAATTCACATCTTAAAGTGAATCTGTGATTTTCCTATGCGGAGCAAAGCAGCGGGTTCTTCTACTGTAACATATACCTTCAGTTCAGTCCCCCACTTTTCCATTCAACTACAGGAAAGCCCTGTGTAAGTTCCAAATTCCTGGAGTAACAGCGTACACAGAGTCATGGATTCCCTGTTTGACAGCTCCAATTGGCACAGCTGTGGAACATGGAGTGAGTGACATGCATCTCCATATATGAAGTTCAGGGTATTTCCTTAAGCTCTTGGTGCTGAACAGAGTGGTGGTGGAGAAAAGGAGAGGTACATATATGCTCCAGGGGAGTAAGAATTAAATCAAACCTGATGATTTGCCTTGAGTAGTTAGAGTGCCTGTTTGGCTTGATGTGCATTGGAACCTGCAAACCTCTAATCCATTAACTTGCTTACTTATAATTTGTATGATTCCAGATACCTTATTGACTACATGATGCTAACCTGCTGTGCTACTGTATTGTTTTACATTATGAACACAAAATAGTGAAATAAAAATTAAATACTTGTTCACAGGATTCTTGATTCCTTGGCCATCATTACCCAAGCCTTCTCCTTCCTTCCATCCCATCTTCATAAGCATTTGGTAACCTATGTTCTCCACAGTCAGTTTGAATTCCTTATATTCTGAATAGTCTGGCTCACGTCCCTCCTGCAGAAAAAAAAAAAAAAAAGGGGGGGGGGACACAATGCATCTCCATAGTCATTAAATGTCCCAGATATTCATGTATTGTTTTAATAATTGTTTTTTTTTTTATATTTATATATTGGACCATTTCTGATCCATGACCTCAATCATTTTTTATTTAAAGTAAATAGAGAAAAATAGCGTATTTTATAAGCACAAGACAAAAATTAAGCTTTAGGAGGATGATTTTTTAAGACTAAACGTTTTTGGAGAATGTCATAACACATCAACATCAAACTGCAACCTGCACTGGCAAATTGAAACAGAAATTACAACAGGTATAATACTTGTTGCCTTTCTTTTAAGATGAGTTGCTTTTTATTAATGTGATGCACTAAATGCAGGAGCTGTCTTGCCCCATGAAACATGTTTGGCACCATACATCCTACATTTGCATATAGTTCATAGATCTGCCCTGCAGATATGATCTCTCCAAAAGGAAGGAGTAACAGTAGCGTAAAAGCTCCATATATACCCTACTAGGAAGAAAACATTTACAGTTACCATTAAAACAATATAAAAACACTGTGGGGGACTTTGGTAAGCACAGTGTTTTTCTTTAAAGGTTTGGATTGTATATTAAAGGGGTACACCCCTCACACTGCTGTCTTTATTATCCTAATTCAGTTTATTTGTACAGCAAGCATTGGTTTTACAAATCTGTATTGTAATCATAAACTAGAAATTTAAATAAAAAAAAAAAAAAAACCCTACCACATGCCCACACACAAACAAAAAAATCTAGTCTGTTACGGATAACAGCTCTATCTTACTGCTCTTTACATACAGGTCAAAATTACATTTTCTAGAGAATGGTGCACAACTGAGAACACATTACTTTTAGTGCTTTGAAGGTTTCCATGAATTTCTCCAGCTCATCTGGTGGCAAGAAATCTCCAATGAAATGTTTTCCTCGTCCCATTTCAGTCAGCTGTTCTGCCCATTCTGATAGGGGCGAATAAAAAAAAAAAAACATGTAATCATACAGTATATGGTACCCAAAAGAGAGCACAATTCTGTACTAATAATGATGTATTGTTTTATTATGAAGAGTTGTTTCAATAGTGCAACTATAAAAAGTGTAAGAAATTAAACGGGCAGGTCAGAAGTGCTACATTACCAATATATTTATATGTAGTTAAAGAGTTACTAAACCCAGGACCCTGCATTCATTCACTATATCTGGTCTCCCACAGTACACAGAACATGGAAGTGCAATTATTTTAGTAAACGTACACTGCTAAATACCTTTTCTCATCAGCAGTTAGAGAAGATTTTTATCAGTGTCCAGCCGAACACATTAAAGCTTGTCGGGGAAGTTTTCATTTTGCTCTAGGAGGATGCAGAACCCCTGACCTCTGTCTGGACAGTGCTGATTGGCCCTGTACTGATCACATGCACTATCCCAAGGAAAAAAAAAAAATCTCTAGCAATACACAACAAACTGAGCACTGGCAGAATGACTCCACACAATATAGGTCTTATCAGGAGCTAAGAGAGGGACATTGGAAGAAGGGGAGGATTGGAGAAGACAGGATCAAACCACGTTTTTACACAATGCAGAGAATTAACCGCTTAGGTTCCACAGTAAGTATAGCAAGCATGCATTACTGCATACACAGACTGATTTTACTGTTGTGGGTTTAGTAACATTTTAACTGGTCTTTCCACAAAATTTCATCATTGGGAACTAGCTGACCATCATGGGCAACCTATAGTCTTTTATTTCAGAAACCTTAGGTCCCTATATGCTCTGTTAGGAACTGCCAAAACATTGTTTGGCTTGCATTCCTTCAAAAGTAGGAGGGCAAAATGTTCCTATACTTTTTGTAAAGAGATCTATGACAGTGACTGCTTTATTATGCAAAGCAATTTCAAAAACTGAGAGAAAAATTAGACATAAAGCAATTCCATGAATAAGTTGTTATTAATGAAAAATAAGTCCCCTGTCACGTGTTAATGGACTAAAATATGGATTTAATGCTTTCTGTGCTCTCTGATGCCAAAAATAAGTGAAAGGAGAACTGTCCTTATACAGAGGACCAGTATCCGTTGCACAAGTTCTACCTGGCACTGTATGTTTTCTTGCCTCTGCTTAACAGAACAAGACAAAGGAATGAACAGATATCCTTGCTCAATAAACAATCTATTAAAAAAAAAGTGCATCAAAATACCTGACAGACTTATTGTCACTAACCTCTTGTTTTATCCATTTCCATGCGTCTCAACTGATGCTCCCAGGTCCCAAACTCATTGTCCACTTCTTCATCACTATCATAATCATGTTGGTGCTGTTTCACAGCTTTCTCCCACATATACTGCACATCCTGCATGGCTTTCTTGTGTTTCATTATCATGTCATACATTTGTTGCATCTGAATAGACCACGGGAGACTGATTAACCCAATCATAAAAACTAACATTTCATATATAGAATTCAAGTCTGCCAAGGTTAACAAACCAAAGAGGCTGCAGAAAACCTGAAAAGCCTCCAAATATAATATTAATATAAAACACATCTTGAGCCCAAGAGAATGTTTATGTAATTTTAAACTAGAAGTACACATGGATGTTGCTAAAAACCAAAAGTGTGTATTATACAATTCCCTAAAGCAGACCATGCTTAAAGAATAAAATTAAAAAAAAAAAAAAAAAAAACAGCACACACACTGTATACAAACACCCTTAAGACTGATACACTACGGTTGATGATGGCCATCCTACTGTGACCGTAACAGCTTGCCAATTGTGAAGCAGAATGTATGGCTGCAAACCGCTACACAAATCACTTTAGCTTTTGCAGTACTTAGAAAGACCAAATACACTCCAGGTTTGGAATTCCCAGATTCAGGAGTGATTTCAGATGTTTTAGGTCCAGGATGTAGCAATCTGATCTGTTCTTCCTGGAACATCAGTGATAGGTTTATTCAGAGACCCTGAAATTACTTAAGACAGAGAACTGGCACAACATTTAAAATGAGGTAGAAAATGGTTTAGACACAAAGTATTAGGAAGCTGGAAAAGGAGAAAATCTGTTGAAAAAGGCAAACCTGAAAAAGCTTCACATACCCCAAGAGGTTGTCCCAAGTAGGGGGCAACCTTCTTGGGAAGAAGTGAAAACTCCCTACCATCAGTCTGAGTAGCCCTGATAACTAATAAGGGAGCATTTAGGAGGAGGTACCTCCCTGGCTCCACGATGACCAGAAGAAGGAGCAAAGGATTTCTGAGCAAGGCTGAGCCAAATTCACGTTTTGGAGGTAACAGAAATGCATTTGTCATGCTGGCAAGGTTTCTGATATAAGCTAAACTCCAGCAGAGACCTAAAATAGGAAATCTGTGAAGGACCATTCACTCACCAGCTATTACAGTAATTGTAAGTCTTTTTAATTAAAATAAAAAGGATGCTATCCTTACAGCTCTTTGCTGTTCCTTCCACTCTTCTCAGGGAATGTGACCAAACTAATCACACTGTTACCGGGTTCCCTGATTGGACGGGAGTGCCCAGTAAAGGTGGTGGTTAAAGGTGGGGGGCCCTTCCACCACCTGAAAAAGTGATCCAGCGGCTGTATAGTCGCTCAGATCACTTTTACTAAAAAGAGTGGTACTGAGGCTACTAAAACATAGAATGCATTAGGGTAAAAAAAACCTTTATAGTTTAGAACCACTTTAAACTTCGTCCTGCTCAGTGTTAGAGTAGAAGCATTGTTTGGCGTGGCTAGCCATGTTCTCTCTATAGATACCTTGCAATTTCAAACAAAATGATCTGCTGGGTTGATCAACATGTGGAGGCAAAGAAACAAGTGGGAAGACATACCCCAAATGAGAGAGGAAGCCATTCTTTGCATACAAGCTCCTACTGTGCAAGCAATGCAAATACTCCAGGTTTAACTGCATTACCACCCACTGAAAAACTATTTTTTTTTTTTTTTTTTTTTTTTTTTTAATTTCTAGAAATTAAATTTGACCTCATGTGACAGCATTCCACAACATTTCTAAATCTCATCTCAAAACCTTTTGCCCTGCTAGTATTTCAGCAAAAACATTTCTTATAAACACCACCCTTCTTGGGGTCCTAAAATTGATCACTCTGTTAATAAAAGTACGCCTGGAAAACTATTGGTCATACAAAACATCAATTTCTAAAACAGGAAAGAACCATAGCAAAGAATCCTCTTTTTCATATTTTTTTCAGGAAATTCTAGAAATAAGAGGGGTGATCTGATTAGTGCTTATTCAAATCATCATATATTGTAGTAAAGTCAGAAAAATACTAACAAAAGAAAAAAAAAAATATTCTCATTCATTCCCTTTTCTCCTTACCTCTTGCTGCTCTTTCAGCTGCTTTTTCTGGGCATCTGACAGCTCTGTCACTCCCACCAGCCCAACTGGTTTTCCTTTATCATATCCCAGACCTTTCAAATCCTGTTCTGTAAACAAGGATAATAAACAAATTGGTGATTATTTGTTTTATATTATTTATTTATATTGAGAATATATATTGTTTATATTATTTGTTTTTGTTTGTGCAGCCTGTGGTTTCCATATATGCTACAAAACATGCAAAAGGCAAAAATATAATTTTTTTAGTAAAGCTATACTTGGATCAATTATGCCTTCTGTAATTAGCATTCATATCCAAGTTTCTACCTGAATGACATGTCCAGATATTACCTTAAAATGTGTATATCAAGCCAAAACCTTTTTTGTGTTGGACATTTTTTTATTGTTTTGGGGGTTATCAGAGCCCTCACAGTGCCTCGGTTTGAAACAAGCAGTATCAGGGCATAATCATAAACCAGAGGATTAGGACCTGCATCCATCAATGAATTCCAAGAAAATTATTTTATGGTGACAAAAACTTAAAAAAAAACTATTTTCTGTCTCCTCCATTGAGGGGCACAGGAAGTCAAACTGTCAGGATGCCCAAGAGCAACGCAACTAAGCGGTGGGAAAACAGCAAAACTGCTAGCACGTTCATCAAAAACAGAACTGGAGACTGCCTGCAGCCAAGAGCTGCCTGATAGATTAGCAACTACCAAATCAGACACTGGATGAAGCCAAACCCTCTACACCTGATCTGATAAACCTGCCAACACGACCAGAGGGAGACACAGAGATTAAATTTGATGCTCAAGACAAAAAAAAAAAAACTGGTTACCAACCAGAGAGAATGACTCATTATAAAAGGGAGCACCAAACCAAGACCAAATGAGAAGTTGAACAACCTGAAAAAATTTCAATTAAGGGAAGGAAAAAAACCAACAAACATGGAGAGAGAAACTGTCTCTAATAGAAACAGGTACCAGACAAGAAACCTGGCAAAAGTCCTCATATGGGCATACTAGTTGGTCTGTGTAGGAAGGCAATAGCTAAGCGTCTACTATCCTGGCCCCACAAGGGTCAAGGAAGGATAACTCTACAGCTTGAGAGATTGTCAAAAAAGACAGACACAGTAACCTCACCAAGGCTCACCAGGACAAAGCCTGAAGATTAGAGACCATCAACTGTTAAGGATGTGAAAATGGCTTCTAAATCCAGTAGCCAATTAACGTTCTCATAAAGTCAGTGTGACGGAAGGGAAAAGGTACATACAACCCGTGGCATAAAATATGGCTTGAAAAAAGTTCATTCAATTGTTTAATTGTGTAGAAAAAAAAAATGATCACTGGCATGCCTCAATACTATTTTCATTTAACATTGCACACCTTGGTGAGCTGTTGCACCAAATTGATTGACACGAATAATGGCTCCAACATGAGGGATTTCAGTAGAAACAAAGGAGAGGATTATAAAAGGTAAATCAATAAGGAATGTTGCAAAAAATGTTGGCTGTTCCCAGTCAGCTGTGTTTAAAATCTGGACCAAGTACAAATCAAATCAGAAGGTTGTAAAAAAAATAAGCGTACTGGTAGACCAAGGAAGACATCAAAGCGTCATGATAGAAAACCCAAAGCAATATGCCTTGAAAATAGAAAATGCACAACAAAACAAATGAGGTATAAATGGGCAGAAACTGGAGTCAATGTCAGTGACTGGTGAAAAGGAAATGGGATTTACATACCGAAAAGCCAAACGAAAACCATCATTACTAAGTAAACAAGAAAAAAAACAAAAAAAAGGTTACAGTGGTCTAAAGAAAAGCAATCATGGACTGTGGATGACTGGATGAAAGTGATATTCAGTGATGAATCACGAATCTGCATAGGGCAGGGTGATGATGCTGGAACTTTTGTTTGGTGCCGTTCCAATGAAATGTATAAAGACGACTGCCTGAAAACATGCAAATTTCCACAATCATTGATGATATGGGGTTGCATGTCACGTAAAGGTACGGGGGAGATGACAGTCATTAAATCTTCAATAAATGCACAAGTTTATATTGAGATTTAGAACACTTATCTTATTCCATCAATTGAAAGGATGTTTGGTGATGGGGACATCACTTTTCAGGATAATAATGCATCTTGCCGAAACGCCATAAAAACCTTTCTTCAAGAAAGGCATATAGGGGTTTATTTACTAAAGCTGGAGAGTCCAAAATCAGACTCCCTTCTGCATAGAAACCAATCAGCTTCTAACCTCAGCTTGTTCAATGAAGCTTTGGCAATGAAACCTGGAAGCTGATTGGTTTCTATGCAGAAGGGAGTCTGATTTTGGACTCTCCAGCTTTAGTAAATAAACCCCATAATGTCAATGGCATGACCTGAAAATAGTCCGGACTTCAATCCAATTGAAAATCTATGGTGACAATTAAAGAAAATGGTCCATGACAAGGCTCCAACCTGCATATCTGATCTGGCAACTGTAATAAGAGAAAGTTGGAGCCGGACTGAAGAATACGGTTTGTCAATAGTTAAATCCATGCCTCAGAGACTTCAAGCTGTTATAAAAGCCAGAGGTGGTGCAACAAAGTACTAGTGGTGTACTGTAGTGGTCTTTTTCATGATTTCAGAATATTTTTCCTCAGAATTGAGTGATTCCCTATTTTATTTCTCTGAATGATCTGCAAAAACAGTTGCAACTGACTACAGTTTTCTTTCATTTTTATTTTTGTAGGTATTTCTTAAAGCCAGAAGGTTGGAATGGTAAATGAAAATAGTTTTGAGGCATGTCTGTGATCAGTTTTTTTTTCTACACAAACAATTGAATGAACATTTTCCAAGGGTGGTCATTCCATACTTTTTGCCAGAGGTTGTAGAAACACCCACAACAAGAGCAGACAGGAAATGAAGGTTACAACTGAACCATAAACTACTTAGGTTACAACCTTAATCGGGCTGAGGACAAAAAGATAGAAAAATTCACTGGTAATCAACAAACACCTGTGGGCGAGCTCTAAGAGGAATCCTGTGTAATCCTGACATCAGGAGACATAGCACTTTCTTAAATTCCAGACTCTCCAGATTTAAAGAAGCAGCAGCATTCAAGGAACAATGACAGGAGACCTATCGGTACAGTGAAGATTATTAACTTAAATAAATCCAGAACAGGGAACAGTGCCAGAAGGTCCTTTTTCACAAATCTGAATATCAGTCAAGGAAGAGGGGCCTAACCCCAGATGGACAGGACCCACGTGGTTCTTAAGATCTTTTCAAATCACAATCAGGAACACAACCAGCATAGAATTTGCATGTTCCCCTTTTCTTGTGTGGGTTTCTTCTATGTACTGTTTGCCCTCATTCCAAGAACATACAGGTAGGTTAATTTGCTCCTGTCTAAAATGGTCCTAGTAAGGTCTAAGGGACCTTAGATTGCAAGCTACTTAAGGTCAAGGTCTCAGCAGAGGAAAATTAAAAGTCATGAAGCAAGCAGGAGGTAAGGACTAAAATTCCGGTCCCGCCAAGACACAATGTCTTCAATCCAAATATCCGAAACACCGAGTTCAGGTGGCCAAGAAGGCTGACAAAGAAGTGGTGGCACCATCTAACTGTGTGTCAGGTTTTGACATCCAGGCCTTGAGAAAAAGCTAAGTGGAGAACTTGGCATTGGAAGCAGAGGTCGGAGAGGAACGAAAGTAGTTTTCCTGAAATCTGCAGTGTGGCAGAATTTGCCATGGGAACTTTCACTTTCTTCTTGCCAAGTAACAGCAAGCTCTTCCTGGCAGTGACTTTTCTAATAAAAGGTGATCAAATACTTTCTGAAGAGTCATCCTGTGCATCTGTACTGATGCAAGAGCCAGTCAAGATTGTTGGCACAGAGAGTGTGCCAAACCGTACACGCCGTAGCACAAGGTTGCCAGCAGATGCCCCACCTTTTGAGGATCAAGGGATCTAAGAGCATTATCCTGGGGTTACAGACCATACACATAACCCAGAACACAAGGGTCTGGCAAAAGGTCACTGTTAAAAGAGCAAAGAAAGCTTTTAGGAGGCCCTCCAACCTCTTGGCAAAAAAGATTGGGAAGTCCTCAGCCAGGACTGTCAGGGATTTGTTGAAGCAGGTGTAACACCCTCTTAGTTAGGTTTCTAGGTAAATTTAGATTTTTGCCTCCTTCTGTAGTCAAGAAAGTGTGTTTGTTTGTTCTGGTCTGTTCAGGCTTCCACAGGTTGGGGAGCTTGGTTGCTTCCCCCTGCCTCTAGAAGAAGTTTCTAGAGCTTTGGGAGGGCAAATTCAAATACTGAGCCTGAATATTGATCAGGGCTTAGCCAATCGCTGGGGAGGTGTGTGCAAATGGTAGCTGGGGAACTTCCCAGCCTTAGAGGGGGCTGTTGCCTCTCTGAGGCAAGCCTTGAATTGTGTGCTGCTGTTCTTTGGAGGTCTTGGGGCAGGAGATCTGGAAGTGACATGGGACTGGCTCCAGTACTTCACCAAAGGGATTTGGTTTTGAGAAGGATTTTTCTCACTCAGTGGGAGGTGTCCAGAGAAAGTTTGAAGGTGGCAGCTGTCCTGGAGATTTTTGAGTAATGACCCTGTACTTGGCGACTGTGTGTTATTGGGATATAAGTGCCAGATGTTGCTCTGACTGATACTGCTCTCATAGGGTCTCAGATACTGGCCCTTTCCCTGTCCTCAGCAGTGACCTGGACTGTGAGCTTAGCACTTTCCTGTACTGTGCAGTGTTCCTGTGAAGCACCACTAAAAGAGTAATTTAACTACTGCTACTTTATGTTAGCCATGTCAGGCCTTGAAACCATTCACCTTCTTGTCTCCAAATCTTTGTAACGCTCGTATTTGTTCCTGTTATTATGGATAATTGTTTTTAGATTAAGGCCAACAGAAGTGCAAACCTTCCTACAAAGGTGCCACTATATACTATATGCTTTCTTTCCTAATGGTAGAACTGGCAATAACTTCAGAAACTGAGCACAATTCTCACCAGAAAGAAGGGTTGTATCAGGGGGCTCATTTATCACAGTTGCAGGAGGTAAATCAACCTTTTCCTCTTCGGGACCCCACCGACTTTTTCTTTTCCTTTTTGCAGTAGTCTGCTGTGTGGATTGCTGTGGTGGTGAAGATGAGGATGAGGAGGATTCTGGGGTAGGGGCTACAGTAGATTTAGACTCTGGCTCAAACCTTCGCTTTAGTTCAGGTTCTTCAGTAAAGTCCACTGACGATTTCTTGGCTCGTCTGAACTCTTCCACCTTCATTTTATAATACTGGTAACCTTTACCATTTGTATCATACAAAAACCTGGTAATTACAGAGATAAAAAAACTCTTTCTAAATAGTATTAGATAATCAACCGGACATGCAGCCTGTGAAGCTTATATCTGGCACAGTGATTAGGGATGAGTTAAAGTGTAGGTCAGGCCAAATTTTTTTTTTTTATTCTAGGATTTGAATAGTTTAGGGGTGGGGGTAGTCTTAGGACCCAAGTCAGGTTTTTATGGCTATCCACGACTTTGCTTTACCAGGCAGGAAGTGAATGGAACTCCCCAACAGTAGCACAGACAAAAATAGGGGAAAGATAGCACCCCTACCCGATTTATTTTTTCCTTGGTACAGATTTTACTTCACTTCCTGTCCGATGAAACCATTGTCAGCAGAACAGGAAGTAAGGGTAAATCTTACTAACAGAGGCCCAGAAAGCAGTAAAAACCCAACAGGAGTTCTAATCCTTCCCCACTTGAAAGAACTTTTGTCTTTTCATATATTTTAACTGGTTTACAGGGCTTGAGGTTCAACCTAGGTTGAACAGATTCCCACCCTAATCCCCAAAATACTTGTGCCAGACAACCAGCAGTTTCTTTATCAGCCTAGCAAGATGAAAACAGGTATATATAATTAATTTAAATTAATTAATAAATAAATAAAATGTCAGCACATTGAAGAATTAATGGAATATTGCCCTGAGCAGTGATGAAGAGATTTGTTGAAGGGAGTCCAGTGCTTATATAGGTCTTGCAAATATATTTCCTCACAACTATGGACATTTAAAGTAAATCAATCATGATTTTAATATCAAGGCTGCCATTGCTTATTTTATTTTTTTTTATTAAGTAAAAAAACAAGCAAGCTTCACAAACTAAAAAAAAACTTTGAGGATCAGTGGCCTGCCTATGTGCCTACATAAACTTAAACATATCAGGTGTTGGGACACCTATTATACTCATACTTGTTACCAATCTGTTATTCATATTAGAGTGAAGGTAAAATGGAGAAGTTGGAGCTTCCAACTTTCAAAAACAAGTCAGCAACAGCAAACATTTTGAAAGAGATAACCCATATATTCTATACTTACACTATACTTACACCATAATACTAATTACCTAAAGGCAGGGTTTTCCCTGTTATTCTGCAGGGCAATGGCTTCCACCTCTGGACCTCCATCTGCTACATATTTGGCCAATTTCTCAGCAAACATCTTTATTTCTTCGTCTTCTGGCACTGTAAAATGGCAGAGAAACAGACAGTGGCTCTAACTAAGAATGATGGGTTGAATGGCACTTTCTCACCCAAAATACTGCAATCTCCCTAAATAGATATAACATCAGTGCAGAAAAGTTTACTTTCCCTTTTCTACAGAGAAATATCAGAAATCAATCATGCAAAATGTTTCTAACCTGTCTGTAAAAATTCTGATACTGATTTCTTTATAGCTACCTCTGCATCAACTGTCACATTTATCAGGCCACATAGTCAATTGAATGTGATGATGTAACACAAAAATGCTAGCAAATCAAGTACTGTTGGTGCTTATGAGGAGCATTTTCCACTTACCGTTACAGGATGCAGCTTTCTCTCGAATCTGACAATCCTGCTTATATTCTGCCAGCTTCTTCCTGTAATACAGGAACTCCGGGCTGTTCTGATCATGTAGAAACCTACAGGCAATGATCAAAGTTTACAATTTCTTTTGTCATAAGTCAATATTCTTCACTGTTATGTGGTGTGACAAGAACATCATTCAAACATACAGAGCAGGAAACCTTGCCTGGCTTACTTTCCTATAGATACTTTCTGGTCATGTGGTTTTGGTTGTTGAAAGGAAACCTGTAGAGGACAAACACAGGAACTGCCAATGCTAGCCACTGTCTGACTTTAATAATGTCACTGATCAAGATGAAGCCTGAAGATCAAGATGTCAGAGTGAAGTTAGAACTCATGATCTACATGCTTGCTCCAGATCACTGCTTCATGAATGATGACCCCCATAGTCTCTCACCAAATTTAAATACCCAACCCACAAAATATACCCCCACCATCTGAAACATCACTGTTGGGTTCATGTCAAGATCCACACAAGCAATGCCATCTTCTAACAATCTCAGTATATGCAATTGCTGTAATATAGCTTTGAAAAAAAAAAATAATTCTCTATTTATGAACAATAACTACAGAAAGAATTAAAGCCCAACTCAACTTTCAGTTTTAGCCCTGGTTCACACTGGATGCGACTTGGTATGCGATTTGCATGCCCTGAGACTTGCAAATTGCATTCCAAGTCGCACCCTATTGTCTGCAATTGGAGAGGTCATATTGATGTGGTTCTGACTTGGTCGAACAGCACAGATTTCAAAAGTAGTATATGCAATACTTTTGGTGCGATTCGCATAGACATCTGTATCAGAGGTCTTGCAAATCGCACCTGAAATCAGCGGGTCCCCCAACTTTGAAATCGTGTGACTTCACTGTAAGTCGCACGATTTCAAAGTCAGGCTTGATGTGAACGGAGGGTTAATCAGTTAAGTATATTTTGCGTTGGGAGGCATCAAAACAAAAAGGTTCACAAAGTATTAAAGTTTGTTTTCTTTAGAAATCAGGGGAGCCCCAAGCAGAAAAGCCTGTCCACCGCCAGGTCTATCTGTGCCAGTTTCTCTTTCGGTGTGAAATGGAAACTAGCACAGGTCTACCCTTAATTAACAAAGGGAATTTCACTCTAAAATTTAAACTGGTATAGGCAGACCTGAAACCGGTCTGATTAGTTAAAGTTGTGCATTTTTATATACCTTTATAATAGCGCAGAAAACGTAGTAAATTCCCGAGTGGGTGATCAATGAGCAAGCATTATTTTTATGCACATATTTGGACTGTTCACAGCCATATGTAGATGCATTTTAAATAAATTGGTCAGTTATGCATACAGCATTCTGCTATCATGCTATCATCAATCACTGAAATATCATACCAATAATGATTTATTAACAAAATAAAGGGCAAGTGATGTAATCTAGTGCTTCAAAATAGCAATAAATCTAACCAAAAGTGTATCAAAAAAGGTCTGAAGAAGGATCAATAAATAAAATGATGCGTGTTGACTTTGCACAATGATCCTATATTTGAACAGTATTTTAATAAAATAATGGATTGGTGGTGTGCTTGCTTCACCATCAGTGCTTTTAGGAAAATACATTTAAATCCTTCATAAAACAACAGCCAAAATAGAAAATCCTAACATGCATAAGAATTCATATTATGAATTGAGTAGTCAAGTAAATCTAATTTTTGTTAAATAAGTTCACCTTCAGTAATATCTTACACCTATATTCAGCTGTCCCTAACACCCCCCCCCAAACCCCCCCCCCCCCCCAACACACACACACACATACACAATTTCCCTTTTTGACAGTGAGTGGGATATCTTCTCCCCTGCTTGCTGTCACAATATAAAATTAAAAAAAAAACAAAAAAACGCAGCTGTGCGGTGCTCCGCCCATTCAGCCACGTCATTCATTCACAGAGTTCTGTGAATGTTAAAACTACAAGTACCAACAGCCATTGAGGCTGTCGGCTTGTAGCTCCCAATGAACTACAAGGGCACTGTTGTGCACTCTAGGTAGTTCATTGATTCGTCTGTCATTGTGTAACTGCATGCCCATAAGACAGGGTAGGCAACCTTAAAGAGGTGGAGGTCTAAATGTATTTTGCTACATTTTTGCTAAAAGAAAATCCCAATACATGTAAATTAATTGGTTTACATGAAAGTTATAGTGTTTACAAATGGCAGTATAGATACTGGATTTTTTTTTTTCCCACTAGTAATGGCGGCGATCAGCGACTTATAGCGGGACTGCGGCAAGCATTCTAACACTGGGGGGTGGAACTGACTTGGTGTCACTGACATCCCCAGTGACACCAATACAGTGATCAGTGCTAATAAAAAGCACTGACACTGTACTAATGGCACTGGGCAGGAAGGGGTTAACCTCTGGGGTGTTCAAAGGATTAACTGTGTGCTGTGTGGGTTTCACTGTGGGGCTGTGTATGCGCTTTCCACTGTAAGCACTGGGGGGAAATGACTTGGTGTCACTGACATCTCCAGTGACACCAGTACAGTGATCAGTGCTAATAAAAGCACTGACACTGTACTAATGGCACTGGACAGGAAGGGGTTAACTTGTGAGGCGATCAAAAGGTTAACTGTGTGTGCTGTATGCTGTTTTACTATGTGGGCTGTTTGTGTGTTTCACTGTAAGCACACATATTTGTATGGCTCTGCTATGCAGGAGCATACAGGAGAGAGAACTGAATTGTTTACATACAGTTCTCTCCCCTCCCCCCCATTGGTATTACTCAGCGATCACCAGGTGCCCGCAAGTAATCACCAGCCGGGACCCGGTGATTGACAGCTGAAGCCGCGGATAGGGCGTGGGAAGGGCTTGCGCTCGCCCCCTACCCATAAATGCAAAATCACGTGTATGTGTGTATATATATATATATATATATATATATATATATATATATATATATATATATATATATATATATATGTGATTTTGCACACTCGAGCCACCCTGTAGCAGCATTACTGCTATAGGGCAGATGGGAAGTGGTTAATTGAAAAGAGGCGCGTTCAAAATAATAGCAGTGTGGAGTTCAATTAATGAGGTCATTCAGTCTGTGAAAAACAGGTGTCAAAACAGGTGGCTTTTAATTAAGGACGAAGGCAGCAAATGTTGTATATGCTGGTTACAGTGCATTTCTCTCTGAAATTCTGAGGAAAATGGGTGGTTCCAGACATTGTTCACAAGAAAAGCATACTTTGATTAAAAAGTTGATTGAAGAAGGGAAAACATATAAATAAGGGCAGAAATGATAGGCTGCTCAGCTAAAATGATCTCAAATTGTTTAAAATGGCAACCAAAACCAGAGAGATGTAAAAGAAAAAAAGGAAAAATACCATTCGAATGGATTGAAGAATAGCCAACATGGCAAAGACTCAGTCAATGATCAAAGGTCTTACGTTAACTGTGAGTACTATAACAATTAGAAGACACCTATGTGAAGCCAAGATATCGGCAAGAAGCCCCCGCAAAGACCCTTTGTTGAAAAAAAATGACATTTGCTGATGAGGTTACAATATGTCAAAAACACATTGACTGGCCTAAAGAGAAATGGTGCAACATTTTGTGGACTGATGAACGCAAGATTGTACTTTTTGGGTCTAAGGGCCGCAGACAGTTTGTCAGATGACCCCTAAACACTGAATTCAAGTCACACTACACTGTGACAGTGAAGCATGGTGGCGCAAGCATCATGATATGGGTATGTTTCTCATACTACGGTGTTGGGCCTATTTATCGCATACCAGGGATCATGGACCAGTGTGAATACATCAGAATACTTGAAGAGGTCATGCTGCCTTATGCTGAAGAGGAAATGCCCTTGAAATGGGTGTTCCAACAAGACAACGACCCCAAACACACCAGTAAACGTGCAACATCTTGGTTCCAGACCAACAAGATTGACGTTATGTCCAGCCCAATTCCCAGACCCTATTCCAATAGAAAACTTGTGGGGTGACATCAAAAATGCAGTTTCTTAGGCAAAACCAAGAAATAGAGAAGAACTGTGGAATGTAGTCCAATCATCCTGGGCTGGAATACCTGTTCACAGGTGCCAGAAGTTGGTTGACTCCATGCAACACAGAGGTGAAGCAGTTCTGAGAAACAGTGCTTATATAACTAAATAGTAGCTCACTTATTCACAGGAAAGCTAAATCATCGAGCATTTTTCAGTTCATACAGTAAACGTTTGAGTTTGTAAACAAAAATGCAGAGACTACTATTTTTTTGAACAGCCTAATATTCCTTTTCTCCACTTTCTGTAAAGTAATAACAAATCTGAAACATATTTCTTAATTTTTTGATTTGGAATAGACTGCAGTGTTCCCAATCAATTTGCGTGTATGGAAATATAAGTTATTATAAGGATTTTGTGCTTTTCTCACTTTTTTAAAACACACTGCTATTATTTTGAACACAACCGTATGAGCAAACTGTTTGCCTGTTTCAGCCATCATAAATTAGCCTGGAGGAGTTTCAATCATCTGTGTTTCATGTATAAATTTAAAGAGTAAATAAAGACCTATTGAAGCGCAGAGACAAAAGGACAATAAAAAAAAAGAAATTTTGTGAAAAAAAAAAAATAAAATTATAGAATGACAAAATCAGATCCAGGTACATTCTCCACAAAACGTTCTCACTACTCACCCAAAAGCTGGGTTATCTTTGTAATCCTCCATTGCCATTTTTTCAAGATCTTTGCCCCCTTCTGCTACAAAACGAGCCAACTGCTCCACCACCTTTCGGGTTTCAGAGTTCTCTGGGGGTGAAACTTTAAGCAGGCTGTCAGTACTGGGATTCAATTCACACAGCAAATAGTCAACAGGCATTTTATTGCTAGGAGGAGTGCCAAGTGCAAAGGAGAGGAAGGGAACAAAGCAGGTATGAGAAAGCAAAACACTTATATGGTCTTCTCTTCTGGCCAGCATTCTTCAATACATACAAATTACCCAGTAAAATATCTTTCCACAATGTCTTTTTAAATCTCTTAACTTGTATTATGTTTAGTACAGTGCTACAAACTGGTGTCGCTATACATCGGAATTTATACTGATGTGTTTCGACTAAAAGCTGAAAAAAATCATCTCTTGCAGTGGAGCTGCCTGTGCACTGCAAGTATTCACTGCTGGATTATGTCTAGGAGACCAGGAAACATACATTTACTTACCTGATCCTCTGCTCCCACAGGCTCCTTCACGCTGTAAGACTGGTCCCAGCAGCCTCATTTGGCAAATGCCCTCTGATGCCATCAAGACGGATGCCCATAGTCCTGCACTGGATATAAGGACACTGAGGGGCAATCAACTACATGGGTGATCGGAGGATCGGGTAAATAAAACTGCTTTTCCATCCCCAAGACTTAAATAAGCACTTAACCCTTGCAGTGCAGAGGCAGGCCCCACTCTAAGGGAGAATTTTCCCCCTCGCTAGACTTTCTCCACTGGCATACTTGGGTAATTAATAAGCCAATGGAGCAAATCAGCAAGCCAGCATCTACCCATCACATTAATATCAGTTAAAACCTGACTGACATCTTACAATTTTGGTTAACTGGAACCATATTCAACTCTAGAATACTTAATTTTTCTTTTAAAAAATAACTCCAAAATCCCAACTTCTTCAGTCTTTTTCACTTGTTGTCAATGATAGCATGTACAATCAAACTGGCTGCAATAAGATTTACTTTTGCCCCATACCTATTTTTTAACCCAATAGCACTTACAGTGCATTCAGAAAGTATTCAGACCCCCTTCACTTTTTTCAATTTGTTAAGTTGCAGCCTGATACTCCAGTTGTTTAAATTAATTTTCTTCCTCGTAAATCTACACTAAAGTGCCCCATAACAACAAAAAAACAGAATTTTAGATATGATCGCAAATGTATGAAAAAGGAAAAACTGACGTATCACATTGGCATAAGTATTCAGAACCTTTGTAACAGCACTTGAATTTAGCTCAGGTGCCTCTCATTTGCTGAGATGTTACTACAACATGGATTCCACCTATGGTAAATTAAATTGATTGGACATGATTTGGAAAGGGACACACCTTTCTATAAAAGGGCTCACAGCTGACATTGCATACTGTATCAGAGCAAAAGCTAAGGAACTGCCTGCAGTGCTCAGAGACAGGATTGTTGCAAGGCACAGAACTGAAGAAAACTACAAAAAAAATCTGCTGCACTGAAGGTTCCCAAGAGCACATTTATGGCGTGGACTCCATAATTTTCAAATGGAAGAAGTTTAGCACAACCAGGAATCGAATAGTTGGTCACCTGGCCAAACTGAGCAATCGGGGGAGAAGGGCCTCAGTAAGAGAAGTGACCAAGAACTCGATGGTCACTCTGACTGAGCTCTAGAAATCCTATGTGGAGATGAGACAAATTTCCAGAACAACCATCACTGCAGCCCTCCACTGATCTGGGCTTTAAACTACTGTAGTATAAGGCTACAACATAACAAAATAGAAAAAAGTTAGAGGTCTGCGTACTTTATGAATGAACTGTATTTACACACAACAACCACTTTATTAGGTACACCAGTTCAATTGTTTCGGAACACAAATTGTTAATTAGCCAATCAAATGGCAGCAACTCAATGCATTTAGGCATCTAGACATGGTGAAGATGACTTGCTGAAGTTCAAACGGAGCATGAGAATGAGGAAGAATGAGTATTTAAGTGACTTTAAACATGGCATTGTTGTTGGTGCCAGACAGGCTTGTCTGAATATTTCAAAAACTGCTGATCTACTGGGATTTTCACACACAACCATATCTAGGATTTACAGACAATGGTCCAAAAAAGAGATTATATCCTGCAAGCAGCAGTTGTGTGGATGAAAATGCCTTGTTGATGTCAGAGGAAAATGGGGAAACTGGTTGCTGTGACATTCAGATGGTAGGGTCAGAATTTGGCGTAAACATGAAAGCATGGATCCATCCTCCCTTGTATCAACAGTTTAGGCTGGTGTTGGTGTAATGGTGTGGGGGATATTTTCTTGGCACTAGCAAGGTGTACCTAATAAAGTGGCTGGTGAGTGTATAATGTATTTCTTACCGACAAACAAAATAAATTATCTTGTTTCTGAAAGGGTATGTTTACAGCAAAACTCCAGGCAGATGTGAAAATAAATGTAATGCAGCTCTGTATTCATTACTACCGTATATACTCTAGTATAAGCCGAGTTTTTCAGCACATTTTTTGTGCTGAAAAACGGCCCCCTCGGCTTATACTCGAGTCAACATCTGCAGATAGTGGGGCGCGCGGCTCCGTCAAGGGGGGCGCGTACAGGGGTGGGCAGAGGGCTGCTGTCTCTTACCTGGCTCCCGATGATCCATCCAGGAAGCGCTGCTCCTTCCGTCACTCCAGCCACTCCCTCACTCCTGCCGCTCGGCTCCGTCTCCTCACCGGTGATTGGCCGCCAGAACTGTAGCTCAGGAAAGGTACACAGGCGGCCAATCACGGGCGAGAAGGCAGAGCCGAGCGGACCCGCGAAAATCGAGTGAGGGAAAAGCCGGTAAGTGTGCAGTGCAGAGGTGCTGCTGCAACCACATATGCTGGCTGCTGCAGCAGCACCATACTGCAACAGGGGTCAGCAAGTGTCATTGGTATCAGTAGGAGGAATAGTGCCGCATCATTGGGGTCACTGATACTAATGATGGGGCATTATTCCTCCCACTGACACAAACGATGGGGCACTATTCCTCCCACTGACACCAATGATGGGGCACTATTCCTCCCACTGACACCAATGATGGGGCACTATTCCTCCCACTGACACCAATGATGGGGCACTATTCCTCCCACTGATACCAATGATGGGGCACTATTCCTCCCACTGACACCAATGATGGGGCACTATTCCTCCCACTGACACCAATGATGGGGCACTATTCCTCCCACTGACACCAATGATGGGGCACTATTCCTCCCACTGACACCAATGATGGGGCACTATTCCTCCCACTGATACCAATGATGGGGCACTATTCCTCCCACTGATACCAATGATGGGGCACTATTCCTCCCACTGACACCAATGATGGGGCACTATTCCTCCCACTGACACCAATGATGGGGCACTATTCCTCCCACTGACACCAATGATGGGGCACTATTCCTCCCACTGACACCAATGATGGGGCACTATTCCTCCCACTGACACCAATGATGGGGCACTATTCCTCCCACTGATACCAATGATGGGGCACTATTCCTCCCACTGACACCAATGATGTGGCACTATTCCTCCCACTGACACCAATGATGGGGCACTATTCCTCCCACTGACACCAATGATGGGGCACTATTCCTCCCACTGACACCAATGATGGGGCACTATTCCTCCCACTGACACCAATGATGGGGCACTATTCCTCCCACTGATACTAATGATGGGGCATTATTCCTCCCACTGACACCAACGATGGGGCACTATTCCTCCCAGTGATACCAATGATGGGGCACTATTCCTCCCACTGACACCAATGATGGGGCACTATTCCTCCCACTGACACCAATTTTTTACATTGACTAGTAGGTGCCTCATTTCCCACCCTCGGCTTATACTCGAGTCAATAGTTTTTCCAATTTTTTTTGTGGTAAAATTAGGTACCTCGGCTTATATTCGGGTCGGCTTATACTCGAGTATATACGGTACATAATTAGAGAGCCTGAATTTAGTCTCTATAAAGCAGGGGCAGCACAACGGGCCTGTCAGTTGTGCTCCACTGATCATGTGCTAACAAAAAACATGCTGATAAGAGGAGAGAGCAGAGTGACAGACAGATGAGTCCAGCAATCTGCTGCTTCTCCCTTGACTGTCCAGACACAGGGTGCAGGCAGGCTGACACTTTACCACAGCAGAGAAAAAAAAAATCAGATTCCCTCTGTCAGATAGATCTTTGCTGTGTAGCTCAGCTGTGTATATTTCAGAACTAAATAGACAAATACAAATCCTTTGGCATGTAAAACAGCTCCTAGATATGTACTTCATTTATGTATTTATCAGCTTACCTGGAGGTCAGCTATAAAAAAAGTTGGCCAATAGAAGTATAACTCTAGAGTTATATAATTGGGCCAGTCTTAATTTAGAGATCCAAACTCCAATAACTTTTTAAAGGAGTACATGTACTGCCACTGGTAATAAAAGAATAGTTTGCTGTAGGTTTTAAATACTTTAAATCCCCCTCCCCCCCCCCCCCAAAAAAATGCAAAGCATTCGTCCCAAATTACATTAAAATGGTAACTGAGAATACACTTAACATTGTAAGGTGTATTTCTACTTTTGTAGCCAAGCTGGGATAACACCTGCTCTATATTTGTTACATGTTACCATTCACATAGCATAACTTGAAAAATTATGAAACATCACTGCTTACATTTACAGGCGTACCTCGGTTTACGAATTTCATTCTGCCGGACTTTTCGTATCGTGAAAAATTTGTAAACCAAAACGGTTTCCCATAGGAACGCATTGAAAACCAAATTAATCCGTTCCAGAGGTGATAAAAAAGTTTAAAAAAATGCATCCATAGGAATGCACTGAAAACCAATTAATCCATTCTGGAGGTCAGAAAAAAGTAAAAAAAAAAAAAAAGTCTTATCTGTTCAAAACTCTTTATAAAGTGCACTTTAAAGGCATAAATACTGTACAGGAACAGGAATAAAAACTAATTCGTAAATGCACTGAAAACCAATTATTCCATTTCGGAGGTCAAAAAAATTTTTTAAAAAAGTTTTATTTGTTCAAAACTCTTTATAAAGTGCACTTTAAAAGCATAGTACTGTACAGGGACATGATTTTAAAAAATGTGTAAATGCACTGAAAACCAATTAATCCATTTGTATTGCAAAAAAAATTTGTAAACCGAGCCATTATTTTCATTCGTAAACCGAAAATTACGTTAACCGAAGCGTTTTCAAACTGAGGTAAACCTGTACTTTCTCTTTTCTAAATACTCCAAACCTGCCTCTCCAAACCTATGCAGAGAGGTCTGGGGAGTTAATGTTTACCAAAATTAACCATATTTGTACTCTACTAGCAGGTCTCATACGTGGTTAACCAGATTTGAGCACTGTATGTCCTATTTCAGGGTTAAAGATTTAGAAGCTCGCCTTCTACATTGGACGTTAATGAGAGGAAACTCAGCGTGTCCCTCCTTGCCAGCAGGGACAGACTGGAGTTTGCTTTCATTTAAAACTGTTCAGAGTAACTTGCAGTCTGCTCAGGAACTGCTCTAACCAGCACCTAAAATGTTAATAAATATAATGTTATATATATATTTATTTATTTATTTTTTTTAAGGTATGCTGGGTGAATAGAAGCACATAAACAAATAGTGGGGTTTTCTCAAATTTGACTGCAAAAGTGGAGATAGGGTCATATTATAATTAAGTAGTTTACAAAGCAAAACTTTATTTAAAATTGCTGCATAACCCTTGTGGCAGTGCGGTGTCCTGCCATGGTCAAAATAAAGCTGAAAACCCTGGATTCTCAACCAGGCAAGTTGAGGGGCTCCAGAGAGTTGATGTATTGCAGAGGAAACTGACTTTTCGGTTTCCTCATTTTTTCATTAAGTTTTGTTTTGGGATCTGGAGCCTGGAGATTTCAAAGAGATCTGGGAGGGATGAAATCTCCAATCCGGCGTCCGTGTTTTGAGAACCCCCACTGATTGTACAGGTGGGTGAAGGGCTTTTTGTAGAGGCCTAACCATGGTTCTGGGCTCCACCCCGGCAGACGGAGTCAGGAGGGCTCCACCCTGGCAGACGGGAGGTCTCTGCCTTGGAGTCAGGTGGAAGCCAGACTAGCTGTGTGCTAGTGGCCATAATTTGGGAAAAGTCTGCAGGAGACAGACATTGAACTGTGTACAAGCCAGGAGGCTGAATCTTTGTTGGTATTGCTTGATGGTGGATACCCCTGCATGGGAAGCATTTTTGTTGAACTTTTTCTTTTAAATACAATTGGGCCAAAAGGCCCTTAAAGAAGCGAGTTGCTGTGTGCTTAAACAAGAAGAGCTCTACCATTTGAAGTGAGTTCCCACACCCTGTATTCATCAACAACCTATTCTAGACACAATGTACACACTATAGTTTCCTAACACTAAATATGTGATTCAGACTTGACCTTATATTATTTATCCCTGAATAACTGACTTTTGAATGTGCAATTTCTGTTTCTATGATATTTATCCACTACATTAGGAAACTAAGCTCTAACCAGAAAGAGGAAGTAAATAGTTGTTCAATGCATTTACCTAGTTTATCTAGCTTGCTTGATGGTCTTTAAAACCTAAAACATTTGTCTTACAACTGCAAATGAAATGAATAAGGTGTGGACTAAAGCGTTCGATATTAGTCCACATAAAGCCTGCTCAATACACTGATGACTGCATGGCCGACGGGCACACCCTTGTAAAAACACCAACAAAATATGGCAGTTGCTTTTACTAAAGACAGTGCATTGCAGAGCATGGGAGTCCATGAGTTCTCATTTTTACCGAAAACAATTGCAAGTTAAAGTATGTTCAAAGCTAAAACTTGAACATTTTCTAATGAAGCAGGAAAGGTTTAAACCCACCCAGGTTTATTTTTGTCATTTGTCTCTCTCATTGGGGAGATTTCCTTCTTCTACTACAGTAGACATTGCAGAAAGCAATACCATTGGGGGATATTTCCTCTATTCCTGTTACTTTATTTTTCTGTCTACTTGTAACATTCTCAATGAGCTCCCAAACCTCTTCTTCTCTCTCTCATTTCTTTGTTTGAAACAAGCAGTGCATGTTAGTTGTGGTCATATGCACTGCTCTATGTACACTACACATCCCATAATCCATAGTTGCTAATCCACCTCGGAAGTGAGAAAGAGAGAGTGACTACACTCCTACTTAAGACAGTGGGAACAGGGAGAGCAAACGTAGACATCCTCTTACAGAAATGGTCTCCCAGCAATCAAAAAAGGGAATTTGGAGATTTAGAGGAGGCCCAGAGCAATAGAAAGTATTTGAGTTGAATACTTTAAAGAAATATATACTTTTTGCACCAGGGTTTAGTGTCAATTTAAATGCTATAATGCCTTTATAGATATATCTACTATATTAATACCTTGCTTTACTAGTACACATAACAGAAGTACCTAGGCCTCAAATTGCATGGAATAATGATTCCAAACAAAAATGTTTACAAACTCTTTTGGTGGCCCACAGCAACTAAACTATAGAACTCTTTTGGTGGCCCACAGCAACTAAATTGTAGAACTCTTTTGGTGGCCCACAGCAACTAAACTATAGAACTCTTTTGGTGGCCCACAGCAACTAAATTGTAGAACTCTTTTGGTGGCCCACAGCAACTAAATTGTCAATGTTGTTGGAGATTTCTTCAATTAGATATGATTCCTTTGATTTAGTCGCACATGAAAGCTTACTTTTTATCTCTAACCACTGCTCATAGTCCTCTTCATCGTCGTCATCCTCCTCAGGGGACTTAAAAACGCTGTTTCTGGTCACTTTAGGAGTCTGCTTCGGTTGGGAATAGGACTTCATTTGGTTTAGCATGCTTTCCATAGAGGACCCATGCCGTTTTCCTATAAGTACAGGCTTCTTCTGAGCTGGTGCTGAATTTGCACTGGAACGTGTTGATGAGTTTTCTGCAGAATGAACAAGAGCCACAAGAATGTACAAGAGGTTACAGTATCCATTTGTAACATTTCATGAAACAACAGCGTTTCAAAAGTGATTTTCAAATAACCAATTTAACAATTTGAATTTAGCTGTCACTGTATTGGAAAAAACAAAAGCAATAAACTGGCAGTGGTATACTATTTGTTATATTATAGCTGTAAATCTTCCTAGAACAGGCCGTCCACCAGAAGTCAGTGACCGTACAAGGAGGTCTGTGAGAGAAGCCACCAAGAGACCTATGACAACTCTGTAGGAGTTACAGGCCTCAGTGGCGGAGACTGAAAAAAATATGCATAAAACTGTTGCCCCAATGCACCACCAGTCACAGCTCAGGGGTAAAAAAGGTATATTTATTTTATTAAAACTCACATGGGAGACTTTGAAGTCATGGTCTCATGAATTTTTGTGCATCAGATTAAAGTCTTATATTTGGTCTCAGCCAAGAACCACATATTATAAAACATACCACCCTCCCCATGAAGCATCATGGGGACAGTATAATACTGTGGGGATGTCTTTCTCATAAAAGGTCTGGCAGGATCATGTGAATAGAGTGTAAAATAAATATAGAAATATCCTGAAGGAAATATGCTGCAATTTTCAAGAAACCTGAGCCTCCGCAGAAGAGGAATCTTCCAGCAATGTCAAAACAAAACAAGAATGTATCAAAAAGAAATTGAAATCTGGAACTTTATAAAAAAGAAAAAAAGAAAAAAAGTGGAGGGCAAGCTGTTGGAAAAGAACTAGTCACCAGTTTTGCCTGCGATCTCCCTACAGCTGATCATTTCCCCATAACGGACTTACCATGCCTTATTCTGCACTATGTCTCTGTATGAGGGCATCCATCTTGATAGAGACAGGGCTTTGCTTCCCCATGGCAGAGCCTCTGGCAAGTAGAGATGAGCTCAGGCTTCATTCAAACTCACCTCTAACACAAACTCCCGCTTTTTTGTACTTCAAAAAGCTGCGGGCCAGGTTATTCCCTGCTCCACAGCTCATGAAGTACAGAGTCTGGGTTACAGATGAGTTTGGAGGACACCAAAGTTCATCTCTACCAGCAAAGAGAATAAAAATCAGCACAGCAATGACATAAACTCCATATTTTGAGAGACTAGCAGTCAGAACAGTGTCTTCAATTCACACTGCAGATGTACAGCTATGAGGCTGTAAGTACAGTAGTTCCTAGGCAATCTCATAAATCAGAAGTGCAATGCTATTTTTTAGAAGGAATCCACAACAATAGGAAAACCCTTTCCGGCAACTGCTCAGATACAATTAAAGCAGTATTAAACCCAAAAGGAAAGTTTTCTTATATTGCATCTTACCAATTTTTAGATGTGATGGATGCACTAGTTTCCTTTTTTTGGCTTCTATTTTTATCTGGTGTTTTTCAGAAGTTCAAGTTCTCTAGCAGCATTTATCAGTTTATATGGATGAGACAAACCATATACCACTGGCAGGCGTGATTAAAATCAGCTTTTATTTATTCATGTAAAACCTTTTATCCCAATAGGGAAAAAAAAAAAAAGTTTGCTGTAAACGATTATAAAGTGTGAGCAGGAGTTTGGCTTCAATTTGTTATTTGTATTGAAATCAGCTAATATATTTAACACTCTCCTGCCCCCCACGACTGACAATCTTGCTGTGTGATGTGTCCTGGCTCATTCCTCCAAAGTGATGTCTCACTAATACTTGAAGGGGTGTTGCCGGCCAGATCACTAGATAAAAACAGAGGGAAAAAAACAAAGAAACGAAAACCGATGCGGCCACCACATCTAATGTTTGGTACACAACAATAGAATACATTTGCGGTTTAATACCACTTTAGATGTTCCCTATAAAATAGAAAATTTTCACAATTTGAGCTCAGTTCCACAATGTTAATGCCCTGGAATGTCACAACCAAAGTTCAAATATCAATACAATAGAGAATTTGTGGCTGGGCATAAAAAAGGCTGTTTACCCACAATCTCCATACAATGTAAAAGAACTGGCACAGATTTGCAAAGAGAAAAATATGAAAAATAGTAGAGTCCGGATGTGCAAAGCAAAGCGAGACCTACACAGACCCCCATTTCTGGTAAAAGTGTATCTACTAAATACGGACTAGAAAAGGGGGGTTTTTTTTACTGTAATTTAGTTAAATTGCTTTGCTGAGACTTGTTTGAACCTTTACATTGAGTAAATTATAGCTAACGGAAGTAAAAAAAAAAAAAAAAAATAAAAGTCACTGTGCCTTAGTGTTCTATTGTAATAAAACATGTGACATCACCCCTCAGCAGAAGGCTGCACAAGAAGAGAGCAGTCCTTAAAGAGTTCCGCCCACCCCCCCAACAAAATTTAAAAGTCAGCAGCTACAAATTCTGTAGCTGCTAACTTTTAATATGAGGGCATTTTCCTATCCAGGGATCCAGCGGTGTCCTCACCCCCAGCCGTTTGAACAATCGGCTACAGGTGCTGGCGCAGCCATCTTGACTAAGGGAAACCAGCAGTGAAGTGTTGCAGCTTCACAGCCGGATTCCTACTGTGCACGTGCAAACGCGCTGCACTTTGTGAATGGGCCGCAGTCTTCTGGGACCTGTGAAGTGCCCCAGAGGTCTGCAAATTAAGCAGGAAGTGGGAGCGGGTACCTGTCAAAACCAGGTCTGGCTGTTTGTCAGCAGCCAGGGCTGCCTTTTTGAGTATCTTCCCCTCCTCTTTAATGTGCTTCTAATTGGATTAAGCACATCAGTTCACAGGACCTGCAGCCTGCAGTTGATTTACCTACAGGTGTGGTGTTTCTAAGTAATGTGGGCTATACACTAGTCGAAAAATTGTTCAAACGCTTTTTCGAATAACACTCGGTCGTGAGAAGAAACAACACTGCCATTATGTGATGACTGAATTCCTGATGATAAATCGGTCAATGGATATAAGTGAATCAGTTTATTGTTCGTTTTGTCACATATGCACAGTATGAAAAGTTAGATTTTTAATAAGGGGCAAGAAACACATTAACCTTTCAATTTATCGTCCATTCGCTAGAAGTTTTCCAACCTTTTCTTTTGATTTTCTGGCTCAAAAAAAAGTTCAAATCGATTTTCTATTTGTGCCCATTAACTGAACAATAAACCAATGAACTGTCCAAATTATGGGTTTGTTTACAATTTTTCACCTAGTGTATGGCCACTGTTAGTGGGAGCAATGTTTACTACTGTTTGACTTTACTTAGGAAATATTATTGCCAATAACTGACTGGGCTCGGAATTTTTTAGACTGATACATTTAGTTTGTTACATTGTAGTAGGGTCTGAAGTTTGTCATGTGTACAATATTAGGCTACATTCACACCGGCAATTAGGGCCAGTGCGAATCGTAGTGACAGGAATCTTCTCATTTCTGCTGCGGCTCTCAGGGGCTAGCTGTGGCTGCCAGCCCTGTTCAATACGATGACAGGTCTGCCAGTGGCCATAGCTTTTCAAGATTCTCTGCACAGGCATCGATTACCTGAGGTGATCGCTGCTGGATGCACACAAAAAGTGCAAAACGTGCGACTCAAGTTTGGGGTGCCATTATTGTAAATGGCACCCCAAACGTGGTACAATTTTGCCACAATCATGAAAATATGTCTGCTCCAGGGACTTAACAGTACATTAAAAATGTGAATTGAAAATAAGCAAAGAACCGGAGTTGTGACTAATAGAAACCAATCAGATTTTACCTACAGTATTATTTGGGGGGAAGCAGTAAACAAGAATTCAAATGCGTCATTGTGGGATACAGCTGAAATTGTGTGCTATTTTTCTTCTCTTCAAAAGAGAAAAACCTCTTAAATTTGTAAAACACCAACTTACCAGGGCCTGTCTTTTCTTTCTGTAACTTAAGAAATTGTTGTAAGAAGCTTCCATCATTTGCAAATTTGTTTGAAGAGGAGGAAGAGGAGGAGGAGGAGGAGGAGGAAGAAGAGGATGAAGATGCACCTGCAGCACTACAATATAAAAAAGCAAAAAAAAGATTCTAGAACGTAATCACGCCTACATTTTATTTAAAGCTGAACTACCACAAAACAAAGATAGTTGTAAAGTGTTTTACCTGTCAAAATGTTTGTAAAAGACCCTGTCACTTCAAATGTTTTGTGTTCACTGGAGGAGGCACAGGTCTTCTTAATAGGCATAGTGCCACTAGCAAGAGTAGGATGCCAGGTACAACTGAAAAACAGCCCAAGGATGGACCTTGCCACGCAGCCCCCGCCCCCCCCCCCCTCCTTAATTTAACGCAAAAGGAAAAGACTGAAAAAAAACATTTAAAATACATCCAGCCAATGACACTTTCTGTTGTAACAAATATGTTTTTTCTAGGAATCTGGATTTTATGCAAATGCTTTGAAAAAGTGTGTTTGTTACATGTATTGCATGTACATGCATGCATGGTAAATCTTTTAGCTCTTGTCTCTGTTTTATACTAGAAAAACTCAGATGTGGCATTCAAACACGCTCTATTGCCCTGACTACATCCAAGAAAAGTAAGGCAATGATCTCACGGAGCCAATGCTCTGTCCACCAGGGTTCTTTGTCCTGTGTCTGACTTTTGATTGAGATGTGAGGCCAGAAGACTGATATTTGGCATTACCCATCGCTGGTAGATTTGTTTGAAGACTGCCGGATAAAGGGTCCACTCTCCCTGACCTGAACATTTTCACTGAGATAGTAAGTTTGGCCATTTTTCAAATCTGGTATGTGTACTGCACATAGTTAACACAGCACACTCTTGTTCTCTCTTGGTTGTTTATATACTCCACAGTCATGGTGCTGTCTGACTACACCCACACAGGGTGTCTCTCCAGGGTCCATCTGATCACTTGAAGTTCCGCATCGATGGAAAGCAGGGACACCTCCACTGAGTGAACCAGAGACCCATTACTCCTCTCCAGCCATACAAACTGCCATCTGTTACTATTTTCCAGCAGAGAGGAAGAAATTACTTTCTAGCAAGCAAGACCAGCCTCAGTTATTCCAAGTGACATGATGGCATTAGTGAGGATTTCAAGATTGTAATGAACAGGTTGGACTAAGTTCCGAATTAGTCTTGACACACAATGGTAGGTCATCCAGGTAACCACACATAAATGGCAGATCTGTAGGAGTCTTCTTAGACATTTGGACAGCCGACCAACACTTCACAGCAACCAGCAGATGATCAAAGCCAAAGCTGAGAGCTTAGAGACCAAAGATCCTGAGTCTAATGCCACATCGCAATTGTATTTTAAGCCATGTACCAGCTGTTCCACCAAAATGATAAATGTGAAATTTGTTTCACTGCCCACTCTGTTATGGCTTTATGAAAACTAATCTTATGCAGTAAGAATCCTGTGACCACATATGTAGATCTAGTGATAGCGTCCATCTTGCTTTCTATAGCAACTTTAAAGGAAGGGAGATCCTCCACAAAAATAGTTGTGGCCTTGTTTTGATCAAGAACCTGAAAGATACATGACAGGTGGAGCCACCCACTTTTTAGTACACTCCATGGCACAACAAACAGCTGAGGTGGTTGCTTTCACTTTTTATAGGCAAAATCGTCAAAAATGAGTGGTAGAGAAAAGCCTTAGCAAAACATTTCATCCAATGCATTCTTTAAGGTACTAGTGTGTAAATGTCAAAGCAAGCGATCTACAATTTTAAGTGTATCCCTAACCAACTTAATCAAGCACTGACATCAACTTATTCTGCTGGAAAAAAGTTGATATAGATGTCATTGCTCCCCAAGATGGCCAATCACTTTAGGTGTCAATAGCTGCTGCCATCACTTTAGGTGTCAATACTGTACCTAATGCCTGGACACTCTTGAACCGCACAGAAGAGAGGGTTAGGCTTTATTACTTGCTTGTGGTTGAGGAAAAGTGTGTTCCAACTGTAGCACAAAACCTTTCTAAACTGATGCCAAGAGGTACAGGGATGAGGATGGCCCTGGAATACCCAACGCTGGTATTGGGTAATCAGAGCAAGGGAGGGATGCCAGCAGTGACAGCTTGAAGACATTACAAAATAGATCCCCTGAAGGCCTCCACATAGCCTTATTGTAAATGGGGCAGAGAAAGAACTTCCTGTCCAGTGGGTTCGCCACGGAGGCCCGACCCTCCACTCTGATATTTTGACCCCGTCATCCACCTGCAGAACTTGCAACGGTCTGGGGCAACTGACCAACATAAAAGGGTACACTTACTGCCCCTTCAATCCTTGTCACAGCAGTCTGCCCCAGTAACTTGCAGACGATCTCTGATCTCCCAAGCTAGCTCTACTTCCAGTGTGTGCACTTGCAAAGGAAGGACCTTTCCAGTTGTCCTTCCTGTGGGATAGGGCAATGTGCACTGAAAGTTTTCATTAAAAATTATACAAACTTAGACAACACAGACCAACCCTTTAGCAAGAGAACAAAAAAAACAGCAGCCTCTTGTAAAAGATGTTTCAAACCTTTCATCTGGTGAAAAGCAGCCACTATGCAACACTTCTGAGTGTGTCAGATAATGAGTCTCTGTCTATTGGCTATGGAATTACAGCAATTTTTGAATGAATATTCCTTTCTTGGTATATTGTATTATAAATCACGTTTTGATTTTATTACTCAGCTATTCTAATTATACATTCTAGACCTCTTTTGTAGTTCGTATATAGTTTTTCCTTAATTTTTCATGATGTAACATCGGGGGGGGGGGGGGGGGGAATATTTGAAAATACTAAAGAACTAAATATGGGTCCCAATCTACTTTTCCATGATGACAATGCACTTGTCCAGATAAAAAAAAGTTTTTTTAACCAAAACTATTTAAATCTGAGGTGCTTTTAGGAATGTCTGGGGCTTTATGGGACTTAAACATTTAATTTTTTTTAACATTGCACTGTATATCTCCTCCTCCGCACCCAGGGGCTAGCAGGGAGGGGAGAGACTTTGCAGTGTAATAAGCGCCAACTAGGTGCTCCTCAGGAAAGAGGAGTGTTGGGCTTAACCTTTCTTTTTCACTGCCAGAGCCGTTTTTGATTTTTTGGCACACATTTAAAAAATAATTTTATGCTTGAAGATTACACAAAACCCCCCCGAACATATATTTTCTCAAAGCAGACACCCGAAAAAATCAAATAGTGGTAGTTTCAATTATTCATGTCGCATGATATTACCGCATATTCCGGTCTAAGAAATGCAAAATTTCAGTAAAAAATACACTTAATTTTAAGGCACAAAAAAAGTAATAAATTACCCTATTTTTGGTAAAATATAAAAGATGAGGTTGCACTGAGTAAATAGATATCAAACCTGTCAAACTTTAAATTTGCGTGCACTCGTGAAATGGCAACAAACTTCAGTACCCTATATTTTCTATCGGCGACCCTTTTAAAGCCCTTATAAGTCATCAGTACAGTGTTACAGGTGAGGTCCTTTACTAGAATTATCACTCTCATTCTTGCCTGCGTGGCGATATGCGTATCGCAATCAACATTTCCATGCGTAGGCACCCCAGCGTGTGCTTTTATGTGAATATATGTGGGGGTGGGGGGGTCTCAAATTTTTTTGTTTGAGGGGATGTTATGTGCTTGGGTGTAACTTTAATTTTTTACAAGTAAAATTTTTTTTTTTTTTTTAGGGGACAAAAAGTCCCCTCTGTGATGATCTTTGGTGACAGGTTCTCTTTATTGAGACATCCAAGGTCTAAAAGACCCTGCATGTCTCCCCTAAATGTAATGCAGTGTACATCACACTGCATTACATTCTTTCCCGGCCTCAATGGCAGGGAAAGTTGTGACCAGGGATCTGGAAGCAACGTCATAATCTCACTTCCACATCAGGACATGGGGAGGGATGAGGACGTGTCCGCACTCCTCCCTCCCCGCTAACCACTGGTGCACGCTGAACCAGTCCCGGGCTCGCAGATGTGCAAGCATAGCCCGTCAGACATAACAGGTAGGGGGAGGTTCACACGGGAGGGGGCCGAGGCTGGTACCATTGTGGGCTGCATGAAAGCAATCAGGCGGCAGCGCAAAAGCTTTTACCTGACAAGTGAGCCCTGCTGCTTGCCCGTAGTAGGGCTAAAGGTTGAAAAAAAAAAAAAAAAAAAAAAAAAACTACCTGCCCGGAGCTACATGTCCCGGGTGCTGGGTGATACAAATTCAACATTGCTGAATTATGTTCTTAGATAGAGAATGCTTGAAACAAAAATAGTTACAGTGAAGCAAAGAAAAGAATAATTAACTTTAAAGACTTGAAAAGCCATAAAATGTTATATCTTCAAATGAGTATGCTGTCCATTGCAAAGACATCTAAAGCCATTTGATGTAGTCAAGTCTGCATATTATAATTATATACATCTATATAGTGTGGAAACACTCAAGTTACTTACTCTCTGCCTTGAACTGGGGTACTTGGAGTAGATTTCTGAGCTTGTTGTTGTGTTTTGGCCTCAATCTCTCTCTTTTTCTTCTCTATAAGCTCCTCTTGGTACTGGATATAATCACTTGGTTTGACAGGTTTTTGAGGAGCAGAACCAAACCGTCTTCCACCCAACCCTAAAAGAAAGTTTGAATAGGTTTGTTTAGCCATCATTTTGCAGGTTTTAGAAGCCTCAATGGCAACTTAGCCAAACTTTGAAACCATCTATATTTGGGGTACAGAACTCAAGGGTCCTTTTTTTCCAATACAACCCTTTCATTGTGTACAGGTTACTATGGGGTTGATTCAATAAAACTGGTGCAGCTGTGCATGGTAGCCAATCAGCTTCTAACTTCAGCTTGTTCAATTAAGTATCGGCAATTAAACCTGGAAACTGATTGGTTTCTATGCAAAGCTGCACCAGATGTTGCACTCTCCAGTTTCAGTAAATAACCCTCTTTATATAGCTTATGTGTGGGCATTTGCTGCAAATGAGCACAAATCTGAAGGCTGCAAGCTGTTTCAACCATGCATACAAAGGCTGGCAACACACAAGTGATTTTTTATACAATAGCCTCCTTTTTGGGCACACAGCAGCAACAGAAGTAAGCTTTTATTTGTACGATGACAGGACAGTAGTACATTGCTTCAAATCAGTTGTGTCCCATGTGATCGCAACAAATTTTCGCTCATTTGGACTGAACAAGATTAATCGCAGCCATGCAATTTATTGTGGTTTTTTGACATGCACTTTTTTATTTAGTAACACGCAGACAATATTGACAGCTTTCTTCAGGAAAGCCTTCTTTAATATCCTTTTTTAGACACAGTGCTTGCAAAAGGTATTGAAAGATATGAAAATAGACCTTCCACGCAAACAGAAGGTCCACTTTCCCCCCCAGCCCCTCATCACCATAAAAAGATATTTAAAAATACCTTGCTTTAGTCTTTTTTATTATTGCTTTATTTCATTTTGCATGCTGAATGCAACATGTCATTTAACTGTTACCATAGCTGTGAAGAAAAACATCACAGCATGGGTAAAGTCCTGAGCATCTGCATCACTGTGTTTAGGCTTGGTTTTCTCAACCTCTTTAACAAGGATGAACTCTTGAAATAACATTCAGCTGTCAGGGAACCCCTGCTAATAATTACTATATCTACAGCTTATTTTACAGCATAAATAGTAAGATTAAAGTGGTTGTAAAGGCTGAAGGTTTTTTACCTTCATGCATTCTATGCATGAAGCTAAAAAACATTCTATGTGCAGCAGCCCCCCCAAACCCCTCAATACTTACCTGAGACTCATCACGATCCAGCGATGTGAATGACAGCCTCGGCTGTCACGTGTCTATGCCTCCTCATTGGCTGACACAGCAAGCGGGAGCCACTGGCTTTCACTGCTGTCAATCACAGCCAGTCAGCCAATGAAGGGGGGGGGGGGCAAGCCACGGCTCCGTGTGTGAATGGACACACAGAGTACCGGGTGCCCCCATAGCCAGCGGCTTGCTGTGGGGGCACCCTACAGACAGGAGGACCCAGGACAGCCTGCGGTTACTTGCTTATACTTAACCAGCAGCAGTTAATCCTTACACTGGTTGTCATAAGAAGACAGGCCCAATTACATTGGAGATCATTGGAAAGAACCCTCCTTACATTGGTGATCATTGGAAAAAACCCACCTTACATTGGTGATCATTGGAAAGAACCCTCCTTACATTGGTGATCATTGGAAAGAACCCTCCTTACATTGGTGATCATTAGAAAGAACCCTCCTTACATTAATGATCATTGGAAAGAACCCTCCTTACATTGGTGATCATTAGAAAGAACACTCCTTACATTGGTAAGCAGTGGGAGAAATATCCCCCTTACAGATAGGTAAAAAGATAGCCCCTAGCAACTTCTGAAAAAACAATAGCAAAAGCCATATCAAACCCAAAAAATTTATATATTGCAGTTTATCAATCTTTAAATGTGGAGGTAGGATTCTTTTTCTAGGTTTTTTTCCCTTTATTTTCAACAGTAACACACTTCCTGTCTAAGGGTGTCTCCACTCTGGATGGAGGAGCAACAAAAACACCCTTAGACAGTAGCAGTGTCAGTCTAGGGCAAGGATAGTGTTAGATGTACTAACAGATTTATATGGAATTAAAGTGGAACTAAACCCTCCTATCCTTTAACACCTTCCCACCCAGTAAAATAACAGCTGGGTGGGACATTCGCTGTTCTGGGAGGATGTCATATGACGTCCTCCCCAGAACGTGCCTTGGGTCACGCTGCGGCATGTCACCCGCTGTGCCCACCGGACACCGATCAGTGTACCGGCCCAGTGCTAATCACAGCAGATCACATGACAATTGTACACATGTATGGCGTTCATCCATGCCATTCATTGTGTACTATTGTGTTGATCTATGGGATTGGTCACAGTGATCACATGGTACAGACAGAGACAATCACAGCTAATCACAATAGTAAACAATGAATGAATAGATTTCATTCTGAAAAAAAATGGTTGTTATAAAACAGTGAAATTCACTGTTGTAAGCAATCATAAAGAGTAAAAAAAAAAATCCTGATCACCTCCCCAGATTAATACAGCATTACTATGGTAACACAGTATTGCTCTGGTCACAGTCCCTGTCCCTGATCACCGCCACAACAGTCATATTGGCATAATGACATGTTTAGGCCTCAAGAAATGAGATAGGCCATCAGTACATCAGAAATGATCAATTTTCAGATACATACCATAGTTTGTGGACACTATAATTTTTCCACAGACTAAATAACACACACGGATATAGGTTATTTTCACAAAAGAAAAGTAGCAGAATACATATTGGTCTACATTTATGAAGAAAGATTATTTATTTGGTCTTTTTTCATTTATTTAGCAAAAAAAATAGAACACCCAGTGGTGATTAAATATTACCAAAAGAAGCACTATTTGTGTGGAAAAAAAAATGATAAAAAATGTCATATGAGTACACTGTTGCATGACAGCACAATTTTCATTCAAAGTGTGACAACACTGAAAGCTGAAAAGTGGCCTGGGCAGGATGGGGTTGAAAGTGCCCAGTACTGAAGTACACCCAAAGCTCTTTTGGCTGTACATCTCTTGTGAATCACAAGAGTACCGTTCGTTCTGCACTCCTATGACCCATTTTCAGCTGACAGCGGGCCGAAGCCTGCTGTCGACTGACGTCATTCAGCCGGTCCAGGCTGGGGAAAAGTCGGGATCCACCCCAGAGTCTGGAGCAGAACCTGGCTCTGCTTTTAGGTGAGCCGCTGAGAACCTGAGCCAACCACTCCTTCCCCCTCCCCAGCTCATTGCTCCAATGAGTGCTGAGGGGGCTGAGCAGTCAGCGGTGACTGACAGTTCTGTTCTCTGCTAAGAGCAGATGTGAGAACTCAGTGATCATGTGATCGCTGAGTTCTCACCCTGAGAGCTGGCAGGGGACCGATGCTGCATCCACTTAGGTACAATTTAAAAAAAAAAAAATGACCATACTTCTCTTTTAAAGCCAAGTAAGCTGCCATTCTCTGATCTGCAGTTGTTATGGTGTTGCACATGTGATCAGCTATAAGACCAGCCTAGCTTGACAGTTCAGTTGTGAGCACCAGCTGCTGTGACAGTGATCATTCATGGCATTCCTTGAGGGCTCCTTCCCACCATGGTGCAGAGATGTCAGTTTTTCTGCACACGTTCTGCAAGGGCACAATAAAATCAATTGTTGCCCTGTTCACACTAGCATCACGTGCAGATTTGTTTCTGCAGAGGAATATAATATAACTCATTGAAGCATGCATGAAATCTGATATAAAAACTGATGTCTCTGCAAGTGAAATCTGCATGCCAGTTTCCACCAGTTTTTCTGCATGTATGGTGTGAACCAGGCCTGAATGTAATTGTTCTGGGAAACCGTTGAAGTGGAACTAAACCCTCCTATCCTTTTCAGCCAAGGATGTAGGCATCTTAGCCTCTGTTTGATCTAAACTGCCATGATGCTGCACATGTGGTCAGTTATGAAACCAGCCCTTTGGTGGTTTGAGTTTGGTTAAAAACACAAAAGCAAATGTGACAGTTAGTATTTCTAGCATGCCAGAAAAACATAACTCTTTTTTGAAGCCGTTAACTTGATAGATTTGTTTCCATTTTCTATCAGCTAACACATTTTAAGCAGTTACAGATGGAAGTTTTTTTTCCCTTTTGGGGTAAAAGATTTACATCAGCGAATAAAAGCTGACCATTGTACATACCCAGTCAGTGTTAAAGTGGTTGTAAAACATTATATATACCCAGTGAAGTGAGTGGCCTCAGGTGATAGGCAGTACATGTTTATTTGCAGTCTTTTCTACATCCAAAGTACAGAATTGAAAATTCTTGTATGAGCTGTCAGGAAAAAAAAGGGGGCGGCGAGCTGAAATTACACACTGCAGAGCTCAATAAAGAGAGCTCTGAGAGCGGATTAGAGGAAACAGACACACCTCCTTCACAAAGGAACAGAGCTGAAGCTGTCAGTCTGCTGGAGGTCCCTCCCCTGTCACCATTTTTTTTTCTCTTGGTGTCAGAAAAAGTTGGCAGCAGAGACTCATGTAGATAGAGGAACAAAGCAGCAAAAAAAATGATATTTAGTGCTTTTAATTGAGACAAGTAAACATAGAATAGTGAAAGCAGAAAAGAACCGAGTGGTCCGAGTCCGCCCTTTTTTTTTTTTGTTTGGGGGGGGGGCGGTTGTTTGTGTTTTTTTTTTTGTCTGAGTATAGATCTATGCTTGCCCACGCATGTTTGAAGCTATTTACTGTTGACTGGCTCACTACCTCTTCTGGAATTATATTCCAAGTATCAACTACTCTCTCAGTAAAATAGTACTTTCAGAGATTAGTTTTGAACTTTCCTCCAGTTAGTTTAAGGTCATGTCCCCATGTTCTTGATTTTGGTTTTGTTCTGAGAATATTACCCCTGAAACTTAATTACCCCCTTGATGTATTTAAAGGATTCAGTCATGTCTCCCCTTTACCTTTTTCCCTCCAGACTGTACATGTTAAGTTCCTGAAGTCGTTCTTGAGGTTTTATACCCCAGACCTTTCACCATTTTCTGGACTCATTCTGTCTTATAAATATCTTTTTG